CAAGAAGAGTTAGAACTTTCATCACATATTATTGCATGCGTTCCTCTTTGTTGTCGAAGATTTCATATACTTGATTTACCACTAGTTGGAATCACGTTTGATTTCAATGATCTCGGAGTCTAGTCCCCGGGCCAGTTCAAGTCCTGCAATCAAAGCCTCATACTCGGCTTCATTGTTAGTCGAGGGAACAGTTTTAATGGCCTGCCTCAGGACTTCTCTCGAGGGTGTGAGTAAGACTACCCCGAGCCTAGACACTTTCACGTTGGAAGCTCCATCCGTGAACAAGGGCCAAACTCCTGATATCGTTTCTGACACCATCATCGCTTACTTTGTGGCCAAGGCAGCAGCCCGGGACTAAAATTGGCCAGAAAGTCGGCCAAAACTTCTGACTTGATCGCAGTCCTGGGTTTTTATTCGATATCAAATTCACTAATTGCGACTGCCCATTTGGACAATCGACCTGACAACTCAGGTCTGTGAAGGACATTATGCAGGGGAAAAGTTGTCACCACAGCTATCGTGTGGTACTGAAAATAAGGCCTAAGCTTTTGAGCAGCGACCACGAAAGCTAAGGCCAGTTTTTCGAGGTGCAGATAACGAGTTCCGCTCCTAATAAAAATTTTCTAACATAATAGATAGGGTATTGCATATCATCGTTCTCCCGGACTAGAACGGTGCTTACCGCTACCTCCGAGACCGCTAAGTATATTAGCAATTGTTCGCCTTCCTCCGATTTTGATAGTAACGAAGGGCTCGATAGATACCATTCCAGGTCTTTTAGAGCCTGTTGGCATTCTAGAGTCCACTCGAAGTTGTTCTTCTTCTTCATAAGTGAGAAGAAATGAGGACATTTTTTCGAAGAACGAGAAATTAACCTGCTTAGAGCGACCAGTCTTCAGGTTAGTCTTTGGGTTAGTCTTTGGACTTCTTTCCTGTTTGTTAGTTGGTCTGGATTGACTTTGATCCCCCTTTGTGACACCAGGAAACCTAAAACTTTACCGAAGCTAACTTCGAACGCATACTTTTCGAGTTGAGCTTCATGTTGTGCTTATTAGGATATCAAAGGTTTCTTGGAGGTGTTTCAAATGGTCACCTGCATTCAAAGACTTAACCCGCATATCATCTATGTACACTTTCATTGTTTTCCCAATTTTCTTTTCGAACATTTTGTTCACGAGCCTCTAATAAGTGGCTCCGGCATTTTTAAGCCCGAAGGAAATCACATTGTAGCAATATGTGCCAAAGTTCGTTATGAACGAAGTTTTTTTCTTGATCCTCTAGGTTCATCTTAATTTGGTTATACCCGGAATAAGTATCGAGGAAACTCATCAACTCATTTCCGGTCGTTGCATCAATCATTTGATCAATATTTGGCAATGGGAAAGCCTTTTGGGCATGCCTTATTTAGATCCTTACAATCTACGCACATATGGAATTTATTATTCTTTTTTGGAACTACGACTACGTTACTTAGCTAGCCAGTCGGGATACCTTACCTCCCGAATTGAACCGATATCGAGCAATCGAGTTACCTCATCTTTAACAAACTTGTTTCTGACCTCGGCAATTGGGCACTTCTTTTATCTTACCAGCAGGATGCTTGGGTCCAGGCTTAGCTTGTGCACGGCCACCTCTAGTGGGATACCTGTCATATCTGCGTGAGACCATGCAAAACAATCAATGTTAGTATTAAGAAATTCAATAAATCCTGACCAGAGCTCGGGGTTTAGCCCTGTCCCCGAGTGGAACTTCCTCTCTAGAAACTTAATTCGAACAATGCCACTTGTTCGAGTTCTTCCCCCCTGGACTTGGTCGCGTCCGTTTCTTCCAGTACCTGAAAATATCTTGGTACCTGATGGGATTCTGACTGCTCCATCCCTTTGTCGTCTTCATTGGGTTCGGTAGAAGGCGTCGGTTCCTGTAATTGCTATACCGCATCTCCCTTGCCGCCAATTGATCTCCTCTTATTTGTTTGATTCCCTCTGGAGTTGGGAATTTCAGAAGTTGGTGATATGTTGATGGTACGACCTTCATCTCGTGTAGCCATGGTCTACCAAGAATTATATTGTAACCCATGTCTCCGTCTACTACTTCAAATAAGGTAGTCTTCATGACCCTATTGGCGTTCGTGGGCAGCAAGATCTCCCCTCGGGTTGTCACACTTGCTAAGTTAAACCCGGCAAGGAGTTTTATTGCCGGATGATACTTCCGGTTCGCTTGGCTTGCTCCAGCACCCTCCATTGAATGATGTTGGATGAACTTCCTAGGTCCACCAAAACACGTTTAATTTTAAAATCTAGAACGTTAAGAGAAACTACCAGGGCATAATTGTGCGGTAGTAGAAGTCCATAGGCGTCTTCTTCTATGAAGGTGATATCGTCCTCAACGACTTCCAGAGTCTCTTGCTATGAGTTACCAAAACTTTTGTCTTTTTTGTTGCCGAAAAGGTTACACCATTGTTCTCGTTTCCCCCAAAAATCATGTTGATTGTTTGTCGGGGAGAGTCTTCACCTATCTTCGAGGACTTTGCGTTGTCCCGGCTACGTCCGTAATTGTTTTTAGTCCGGTCGCTTAAGAACTCTATGAGATGGCCGTTTTTCAACAACGTTGTTACCTCATCGCGCAGATGTCGGCAATCCCCAGTTCGGTGGCTGTTAGTCCCATGATACTCGCACCATAGATAAGGATTCCTCTGGCTGGGATTAGATCTCATCGACCTCGGAACCGTGCTTCCTCGATGTTCCTTATCGCTGATACCAAATTACGCTGACACTGAAACTGTACTCGGATAGCCTGGGATAGGTGGAATCCCGAGAACCCGATACCTCATTATCTTGCAATGACCTTCTATTCCGGCTGTGATCAGTTCTTCTACCGGGCGCGAAACTATCTGCCGAACGGAACCCTCTGTTGCATCCTTCGCTCCTTTCATAGGGTAAAAACTGGCCCTTAGAAGATCGTCGATCTGTCTCAAAATCATTCTTCGACTTATCCCTATTCTTTTCTTGATCCCGACCATTAGTTGATGCAAGGAACCCGAGCTGATTATCTTCTATTCTTATCTTTCGTAACAGTTATGGACATCTACCCATGTAGTTGCCTCGAACTCGAGCAAGCTTTCTTTTAGTTTCCAGGAGGCGCCGGAGCTCCTTAGGTTCAACCCCTTAGTAAACACCTCATCTGCCCATTCATTTGGCACGACCGGTAGCAACATCCTTTCTTTCTGGAACCTGGTCACGAACTCAAGCAGCAACTCGGATTCTCCTTGTGAAATCTTGAATATGTCTACCTTTCGGGCATGGACGTTCCTGGCCCCGTCATGGGCCTTGATAAACGAGTCCGCGAGCATCTCAAAGGAATCTATTGAGTGTTCGGGTAAGAGTGAGTACCATGTCAGGGGCCCCTTCGTGAGGGTTTCTCCAAACTTCTTTAGCAGGACCGACTCAATCTCATGTAGAGCCAAGTCATTTCCTTTCACTGCCGTTGTATAGGTGGTGATGTGTTCCTGAGGGTCCGAAGTCCCATCATATTTTTGTACATCAGGCATTTTGAACCGCTTTGGAATTAACTCAGTGCTATGCTCGGTTTGAATGGTAATTGGGTGTATTTCTTTGAGTAGGGGCCCTTTAGCACTTTTGATCCATTCAAGCGTTTATTTCCCTCATATACTGCATAAGCTCGATTTGAAGGGATCATTACTGTTGTTGTTACTAGATCCTTGCCGATCCCCCCGGCCCTGTCGAAGCAGACCTTACCCATCGAGTGTTGTTATCAACCCTTTGCGCTGTTTGATTTGCGGGAGCACCGTGAAGAAATGGGCATCTTCCATTCGCGTTTTTGGTAGCACCCGACAACGCTTGCCTTAATTCTATCATGGCCTTGTCTTGCCGTGAGAGATGGACCATAATGGCCTTTTGCAGTTCTCTTAAGATCCTCACCATTTCCGCAACGTGCCAGTCCTCAGCATCATCAGGAGTCGCCTCCTGTAGGTGTCGGGGATACCGTCCGCCATGAACCTGCGTGGCTACGTCCTCCTCATTGCGAGTGTCGCTGATCTAACTCTCGTGTTGAGGCAGATTTTCTTGTGTGTCAACGTTGTGTGCGATGAAATCATTAGCTGCCATCTTTAAGAATTTTGCTAAGAAACAAAGTATAAAATAGATTAGTAATATATGCAAGGATCAACTCATTTACACAAATGTGTAAGCCCCACGGTGGGCGCCAAACTGTTTACCCGTAAAATGGTACAATTGAATTTATAGCGTAGTTTATAGACAAGCAAATCGATTTGATCCCAAAATGACAAATAAATTAAATAAAATACAAGACTTAGTGTTGAAATCAAGATAAAATAACAGACATCTTGGTTCCAGGAGCAAAGCTTCCGAAGGCAGTAATAAGAATGACATTAGACAGAAAATAGAATATTATTTAGCTTCGAATGATGTGTAGCATAAGTTTCAAAAATCTCCTCCCTTACAATGGCTGTTGAAGTCTTATAGCTATACCTAGGGAACACGGTCCTAGAATCAAGCCCCTCTTAAATAAAAATAATGGGGGCCATTGATGAATATGTAACGGCAGGATATGAATGCCAAAATTCTCTGTAACGGATGTGTATTTAATACTGAGGAATATTCTTCATTGAATGTCATCTGGTGGCAAATATTTGTTTGCCCTTGGTTATAATGTTCCCTTCGGGGTCTACCCGATGCTAACCGATGTTGTTGTCCTCGGTCTTGATTTCCACTCGCTTCATCTTCCGTCTGTCCTCGGTTCCACGTGTCACTCTATCATTCGAGTATTTTATGTGAACCGATTTTATCCTAGACAGATAGTCCCCCTGCTTTTCGGTGGCACATCTTTGTCCTGCTTAATTGTGAATTGTGACAATATATAGGCCAACATCATTTCCACAAAATTATTCTACAGCACTATGTGCTTCCCTCAATATGTGTGTTAGATGTTTTAAAAGACAAATCATTTTGGTTTGATGGCAGGTTATGCATGGGTGAAGTGTAATAGAAAAGAAGATAAAAACTGCACAAAAGTTTTTAGAGTAGCAAAAATCATAGGTCGTCCAGGTAGCAACTTCTTTGCAAAAGATCGTTATGTTCGACTCAGCTTGATAAAGAGTCAACATGATTTTGACATGTTGATTCGTCGGGTGAAACAATTGGTTGATAAAGAAGGTGCACAAGCCATGTCAACTTTGTAATAGGTGATTTATACATTTCTTCTTCTAGATTTCATCATGAAATAATACACCGCCTATATCATTTAATAATTTTAACTGTCAAGTATTAAATCTCCCTAGACATTCAAATTTTCGTTAATAAAACTATGGTTTAATCTACAAGTATACTGATGAATCTCTAGATTCTACTCATAGCTATGACGATGAAAGTTAAGAAGAAGTAGAGGAAAGCAAAGGAGTAGTTGTGCTCATGGTACTGCGTAACTGCCATAACAGAAATATGGAAAACTACTGTACATTTATACTAAACTACTAAACCGCCTAACTCTCTACTGTTTAACTTCTAACTAACTAGCTAATCGTACGACTAACTTATTACATATAATTAGTTGTACACAGCTGTCGATTGCTCTTAGTTCAACACCCCTCCTGAAGCTGATGGTTGAAAGATATTTTTCAACCTCAGCTTGGACATTAAGTAGTCATGCTTCACTAGACCAAGGCTATTTGTTAGAAGATCAGTCTGCTGCTCTTTGGTGGGCACATGATGTGTTTTGATCAGTCCTTGTACTATCTTCTCGCAAACAAAATGACAATCAATATCGATGTGTTTTGTCCTTTTATAAAATATATGATTGGCTACAATTCCGGTAGCAGCTTTACTGTCACATTTAAGGATTATAGGCAGCTCAATCTCCATACCTAGCTCCTTGAATAGCCCTGTGAGCCAGGTAAGTTCTGCAGCTGCTGAGGCCATGCTTCTGAACCCTGCCTCAGCAGAACTCCTAGCCACTGTCTCTTGTTTCTTTGATTTTCAAGAAATCAGTGCATTCCCAAACTTCACCAAGTAGCCTGTAACAGATCTTCTGATCTGCAGACATCCTCCCAATCTGAGTCACAAAAGGCTTTTAGTTTTCTTGACCCTACAGATGGCATTAGAAAACCTAGTCCTGGAGCACCTTTAATATACCTCACCCCTCGTAATGCAGATTCCATGTGTGACTGCTTGGATTTGTGCATGTATTGACTAAGGACTTGTACTACATATGCACTATCAACTCTAGTTATTGTGAGATAGAGTAACCTGCATATTAGCCTTTGGTATTTTCCAGCATCAGCAAGTAATCTGTCTTTGAAGAGGATTGATCATGAACAAACATGTCATATTCTTCAGATGTGAGTTTCACATTTGCTTCAAAGGACTGCAAGCTGGTTTTGCAACTCTGAGCCCCATTTCTGCAATGAGTTCCAAATCATACTTCCTTTGGCTTATCACAATTCCCTTAGCTGATCTAGAAAACTCAATTCCAAGAATGGAATTAAGTTCACCCAAGTCTTTCATTTTAAACTTGGGTTTCAAATTATTTCTGGTCTAAATAATCAACTCTTGGCTACTCCCAGTTACAAGTAAATCATCCACATAAACAAGCACCACTATTAACTCAGACTTCACTGTCTTAGTGAATAGTGAGTAGTCAAAATGACCCTAAATGAAACCAAGCTGTAGTAAAGCATTTGTTAGCTTTTTATTCCATTGCCTAGGAGCTTCCTTGAGTCCATATAAGGACTTATGAAGTTTGCCGATACTGAGTCTACAATCCATTTAGCCATAATTTTAGTAATATCACCACGTAATGGCATACCTGCTTCCATAGCAAAACCACTGCACTCAGGTTTCTTTCCTAGAAGTTGAAGAATCTGACTGTACTGCTCTTGAGTGAACCGAGGAATTCCAGCTTGGAAGTTCTGACTTGCTTGCTGTATCTATGAGGCTCCTGCAAAGTTAGCAGTAGATCTAGCTTGTACAGAGACAGTGGAAACTTCAGACACATAGTTGCCTATATTGGTCTGAGCATAGTTTACTCTATTACCAAATCCACCTTTCTTTGAAGCTTCAGACACATAGTTGCCTACATTGGTCTGAGCATAGTTGACTGTATTACCAAATTCACCTTTCTTCTTTGGCTTGAAATCTGGTGGATACCCATTCAGTTTTTAACAAGTCTCTCTGGTGTGGCCTTTGAAGTTACAATAATCACAATGCAGATTGCTCTTTCTAGATCTGTAGTTGGGGCCTGATTGATTACCGCCTCCAAAATGACCATAGCCAGCTCCTGCATTCCCTTTGTTATTGAACAAGGTTGTCACCTCATTTCCCAAGAAGTTCTGATTTTACCCTAAGTTTCCTTTTGGATTTAGCTGAACCGGAGCTCCAGAAGATGTTCCCTTGTTACTGGACAAAGTTGTTCCTTCACTGATTTTAGAGACTTGAGAAGAGTGGGACATTGCTCTTCTGCTTTCTTCTGAGATGATCATTGAGTGAGCTTTGTTTATGGAAGGCCTTGGAGACATGTTCAAGATCTCACTGCTCGACTGAGGGTATGTCTCATTTAGGCCCATGAGAAATTGAAGTAGCATTTGGTACTCAAAGTGCTCAGCATATTTCTTTGACTCTTCACAGCCACACCTAGTGCAGGGGATAAGAGCATCAAACTCTGCCCACAACTCCTTCAATTTTGATAAGCAGACACATATGAAAGTCTTTGGGTCAAGGTAGCAATTTGTTTATGCAGATATAACACTCTAGAGCCATTAACTTTGTCAAATGTCTCTTTGACATCCATCTACACCTTGTGAGCACTCGAAGCATAGACCATGCCACTCAGCACTCACAGAGTTCATAATCCAAGACAAAACTATAGCATTACAGTTTTGATAAAGTTCGTGAAGAACAAGAGGAAACTTCTCTTTAGGATACCTTTCATCTACAAACCCTACCTTACTTTTTCCTAACAAACTAACACGCATAGTGTTACTCCAGAAAGTATAATTCTCGGGTCCTGTGAGCTTGACAGAGATGAGAGAACTACCCGGAGTGTCGCTGGGTTGTAGAAACAAAGGATGATGTTGATCAATCACAGGTGTTGCAGCTACAACTCCTGGAGTCGATCCACTGTCCTCGTCAGTAATCGCCATTATCACTAAATCTAGTTCACACAAATGTTGTACACAGCAGATATCGATTGCTCAAAATCGATCTAACCCAAAGTTTTGGGAATCAAAGCAATCACACAGCTATAAAGAGTGAATAACAGAGAGAATTGGAGATGATGAATCTAGAGCTGAAATCGCGCGATGTAGATCATTAACACTTGCTCTGATACTATGATGAATCTCTAGATTCTACTCATAGCTATGGCGATGAGAGTTGAGAAGAAGTAGAGGAAAGCAAAGGAGCAGTTGTGCTCTTGTTACTGTGTAACTACCATAACAGAAATATGGAAAGGTACTGTACATTTATATTACTCAACTACTTAACTGCCTAACTCTCTACTGTTTAACTCCTAATTAACTAGCTAATTATACCACTAGCGTATTACATATAAGTAGTTGTACACATCTGTCAATTGCTCTTAGTTCAACATATACAAATCCGCATGTCATGCTTTCATTTTATTCCTGTGTAGCAAAACCAACTTCGTACTTTATTGGATCATATGTCTTATTCTATCATCCTCTATTTAACTTTTTTGAATAATTTTTGACACTTAAAAAGATACATAAAAATGGGTAATACAAACATAGGATTGCTAATTTCTTTGTCAATAAGATCTTAACATAGAATAGATATAGTTTCTATTTTTTTTTTTTTTTGTAGGTTATGTATTATTTTTTTTCATTTTTTGTTTTTCATCATTATTTGTGTAGGAATATAATTTAAAGATATAAAAACAAGGAGGGCTTGTGTAACATCAGTAAGGTATATGTTACAACTTACAAGTAGAAACATCATAAGAGGAGCGCGTAACTCCCCCTTGTATTTATGTATTCGAACTACTTATCCCCAAATTTTAGATTTATGTTAAAAAAAAGTTAATTTTATGCATAAAAATTTATTTTGGAATATCCCTTGACAAAGGGTTCCATTTAACCACAAATTTAAAATATCCAATACCATTGCTCATGTTGCATATTTCCACCAACATAACCTAATTCTTTTTGGAGTCCGGAGTTCGATTTTGTTTGTCCGTCCCCTTTGCTCAAGATATTTTTGGAATAAAAGGGTTTGTTTAGAAGTCAAGTAACGTTAAGCAGTTTTTACTATCAACAACACTAGTAATAATATTTCGCACATAAAATGCTAGGTCACACCTAGCGGCCATGAGAAACCAATTATTTCACTGCTACCATCTATAACACAGGAAGAATTTAAAATGAATAGATTTATGGAGAAACTCAACAAATACAAAATCCCCGATAAATGACAAAGTGAATGGAAGAATACACCAAAGAAAAAATACAAAGAATATTGAAAAAGGTCTGAGAATAAAAATGTGGAAGAAAACGAAAAAGGAAAAGGCAAACTGCAAAATGATCCAAATTTTCCTGCATTACACTAATCCCATGGGCCGTGGCTCAACATTCCCCGGCCCATGTTGCGTCGCCTACAATTTCATAATGCCATACCCCTTTGTTTTGTAACAGGGTTCAGCCAACCATAATTTTCAAGAAAACTATTTCTGGTCTTGTAGCAACAATTACCTTCCACAAAAAGATAGAACAATTTCGAAGGATTCAAATTTTAATCAACACGGTCTTTAGCAGCAACTAGTTGCTTTACCCTTTCAAGAACACCAAAAAATATGGATCCTCCAATACCTATCCAAAGTACTCTTGGTCCCATTCCCTGCAATATACAATGGACTAGAATTAGCTTAATGTCTAATTAGCTTTTGTTTGGTTGATTATCACAGCTATGTTAAATTAATTATCAACATTATTTACATAGATATCATTTCGCGTGAGAATTCCAGGATAATTCTGTTCCCACATAAAATCATTTCCTGTGAGAACTCCAGGCTGAACCACATTTCAACATTAAAGTCCTGGTGCTTTTTACATGAAATTGTTGAGGAGATTAGAAGGTTCAAAGGAACTGGTATTGTTTTGGAACTTCTTCCCCACCCCCGAGATGAAAGATGTCAGGTATCATGTCACTGCTCATTAGACAAAGCTTTGGATATCAAGCGCAAGAAAAAGAAGAGGGAATGACTGAAGATGATGCTTCTATTACATACAGCTAACATGGAGACTATTCTGAAAATTTGTAGCTCAATCAGTATAAGAAAGTTTATGTCAATCCATCATCTGAACTCTTTTCTTTGCGGAAGGACAAGATAAAAATAGACATTATAGCCACTCTGTTCAAAATCAAACATACAGAAAACACAGGATGCAAAGTGCTGACCTTAAAAAGAGTGGAGGCTCCTTCTTCTTTTACAATACTGCTAACACAATGCAAAATGCCTTCATACTGCTTTGCTGAACCCTGCACGCAATATAAATAAACAAAAGCAGGTGTCATGTTTTCAATAATGAATAAGAGAAGTGTAGTTAGAGAGATGTGAAAGGTGCCAAACCTGAATCATCAATCTGGTTTTTATCACATCAAGGGGAGTAGTTATGGCTCCGGTTATTGCACCTGCAATTGATTTAAGACTCAAATGTAACAGATCCCCGAATAGAAATTATTGCCATGATATTAATGCATAAAGGGTTTTACAATCAGAAGCAAATTGATGAAGGCTCTTTATATAGTCTTGGATAATCCTCGCCTTATAAGCTAACTGTTATGGTAGAGTTAGGCTTAAAGCTTATCTTTTTAAACATAGTATCGGAGTCAAACTGATCCCTATCTTGGTTTACCCAGTGTTGGGCCCCATGTTAATGCCAGCTCCGGCCTACAGTAGCTGAGAATATGTGATGTTGTCTCCTTATATGATCTTGTACAATTCTTACATTGAGCTAGTGATTCAAACAGAGGGAAGAATAAGGATCTCTATAAGGCGTGGCAAAGATAGTCTTCCACTTATAGAGCACATAGATTGTCTTATACCAAAAAAAAAAGGGTAGTTCTTGCAGGGCAAGCATTTTGCTTTCAATAAGGGCCAAAAAAGTAAGAGCTCGCTAGAAGGTAAAGTAAATATGTTTCTCTAGACTTTCAAGTCTCAATTAACACAATTTTTTTATTAATTTTTTTTATAAGCATCTGTCACATAGATTAACCCGTAGGATTTTCCATAGATTACAAGAGCCTTATCCTAATATGTGCCATGTTCATGTTTGTACACATATGGACTATTTCACTCTTTTAAAAATTACAGTGAATATACATGGATTGGTTCTTGATAAAGATTTCCGCATATCACAGGGTCAAGCTCAATTATTAAGATGATATCAGCGAGATTGGAAGTGATATAAGACATGTTGTTACCTGCAAAGGCACCAATCATTGCATTCTCAGGATCTTTAAGGTCCCTTCTTGCCTGCATAAAAACAAAATTATGTCTCTTTTCCGAGAAAAGTATAAAAAAATTATGACTTTGTAATTTTCTTGATAGAAAGAAGTTTTTATATATAATCCTTGGGAAAAAATTAATGTAATCTCTCTCGTACTTTTAAGCCGAATTTAATTGAGCAGTTCTGCTCAATGCATACAGAAAAATATATAAATGGATGAAATCTTCATGATACGCTACTTCACTGGTGCTTCAATTTTGGACAGTTAATGGGATCTTTACACAAATAGCAGGCTGGATTCACTGTTTACTTTTTTCTAGCTGATTTACATAGATTATACACTGATTATATACGGTTATACACATATTGTACATACATACATACATACATACATATATATACATACATACATACATATATATATATATATATGCATTCACAGGCTATTTTTAGAGCAACTATTTAGGTTAATTTTTCTCGCTTAATTACACCATAGAAAGAAAGACTGAGAAGTTTCATTGTAATTGCCAGCTCCTAGTGGTCTTTGTTTTCAAAGATAGATGGTGAATTTTGTTAGTATAGACCTTGGACAACATAATTATGATTTGAATTTGTCGTGAATGACAGAACCAGAAACTTTTGTTTTGATTGAAATTGATGAAGTGTAAGAATCAATAAGCAGCCAACTTACAGCTAACTTATATCCGATCCGCAGTTGCTCGTATAAACAAAACTGGATTGCATCAAAAGGTAAATCTCGTAGTAGAAAAGAACCATAACCCTGCACTCAAGCAAGAACACAATGGAGCTTTCAAAAGGTTGGACAAAGAAATCCATCATTCAACTAGTGAATTTCTCTATCAGATTTCACATATTTATCTTTTATCTTTTTTAAAATTTTGCCTGAAATGTTCCAGATTGTAAATAAACAAGAGTGTTTTAAATGGATGTCAGTTTCTAATAAATTCACCAAAAAGACACCTCCTTACAGCATAAAGGCCTCTAAACCCTTCCTTAGCAACGATTAGCCGGACTGCATCAGGGGCAGTAGCAAATTGGCCAGTCTGCATCCTTTGCTTAACTACCTGTAGGTTATTCATATCTTAAATCTCTGAACCAACATCAAAACCTAAGGATGTGCAAATTAAGGTTTCAATTACCTCAGTGGGTACACGGACAATAGAAGAAGCAGCTCCGCCTATAGCACCTGCAGTCTAAATTAAGTGTAAGTAAGCTTTTTTGCTTCAATATATTTGAAATATGGACTATTTTATTGCTGGCTGTTCTCTTAATTTATTAACTGAAACTGCACAGTAGATTCGAAATACAGCAATGGACAGTTTAAACTTATCATTATCATCTAAACTTGCGTACATGTGTTAATTGCAAAGCTACTTCCAGAAATAAGAATAATGAGTGTCAAGGAGTTCCATTCCATCTTCAGGATGGTATTTTAACCCAGGATTTAATAGTCTAGTAGTAGACAATAATTCGCAGTGCACAGATTTCCTGGCCCAGATCACTGAAAATCTAAAATAAAGTATGACTAAATAAGAAGAAGGTTTGCCTAACAGTTTATCAGTCAAAATACTTACCAAATGAGCCAAGGCACTAAGATTTTCAGGGAAGCTCTCCAGCAATTTTCTCTTGGTAGATTCATATACACCAACAAATATTGCCGACGCACTGAAAAGAAGAATTTTGAGTGACCAATCTACTTTGGTGAGCAAAAGTAATTTATTCCAAGGAAGGCAGTTCAAGATTTCCCAAAGAGTACAACATTTGAAAGCTGTAAGTTGGCTTTAGAAACCCATGATATATAGAAGATTAATTACACAAACAAAGATCTAGCTACCATTCTATTGAAAGATACAAGTGCAGCACAGTAAGTTTTCAGGTTCTTCGTCCACATAAATATTAGAAGGTTTTCTATAACCTAAAAGGTAAATTTTCATCATCATTAACCTGATAGTCAACATACAGCTTACTTTATTCGTTGCCACTATATCACTGAAAATAAATCAAACAATTAGAATAACATGAGTCCTTTCACATTTTCTTCTGCTAAATTGTAGATAACAATCATGTCACATGGGTTCAACAGCAGAATTTGATTAAAAGCGGATAACATAGCAGAGACATAGTCATCTGTTTTGAAAAATAAATTTTAGTCTGTTTCTCCCTCCCTCTCCCTCCCCTTCCCCCCCCCCCCCTCTCTCTCTCCTCTCTCTCTCTCTCTCTCTCGTCGTCTACGTGCGTACGTGTCGGGTACGGGGGGGGGGGGGGGAGGGTTCTGGAGAAGACAACTAGTTTGACTTCAGCAGGCAGCTGGCACTAAACTGAATTAGTTTCCAGCCCTTATATAGCTTTCTGTCAAGTGCACATCCAAACTACTCGTCATTATCCAAATTACTATTTCAAGCAATTGCATACTATTTAGTGATGCTGAAGCTGAATGCATAACCTGTCAGCAAACAAGTTTCAGCTTCACAGTTCAAGGCCTTGTTCAGTTCAATTAAGTCTTGGGACAGGATAAGATTTTGAACACATAACGTGTAGAGTAAGGACCTCAGTGTAATTTTATAATGCAAAATGTGCATTGAAGATAAAGTTCATCCATGTATTCAGATTCATAAAGTGAAGTATTCAAAATCCAGACTTCTTACGGTAAGACACCAGCAAGATTTCCAGCCAATCCTGAATAAAGACCTTTAAAAACGATTTGTCCCCCACCACGAACTGCCTAACATTAAACCATGAACAGCTGGTCAAATCAACTATACTATAAGAGCTGATGAGCTACACTGATCTGAAGGTCAGCAGATACTTGGAGAAATAAAAATAAACTTGAAGAAATTGACGCTCCTGTATGACAGTTTGATGGATGATAAATAAAAGGTTGCAAAGCTGTTAAATTTTTTGTTAAAAGCTAACCTTATCAAAAACTACTCAGAATATCAAGTGAAAAACATCCAGATAAAGAGTCAGTATGTGCTAATGCCTAATGGAGAAAGTAGTAGGAAGGAAGAAGAGAAATTACAGATGATATTCATGAAATGTTAAACAGTATAAACCTGCTTGTAGTCGAGTTTTAATTGTATCAATTGGATACAGAACAGCTTCTACAACAACACCAGCAGCAGCTCCAGCTATAGCTCCCTCTACAAGAAGATTTAACAATAAAAAGAGAGAACATGCACATTTTATTAAATTTATCATTTTTAATGTACACAATCTCTAAATCAACACAGGAGAAGGCTTCGGAAACACAAAGCTGTATAACTATCAACTGCACTACTTAGAAGGTATAACGTCAACCAAGTTCATCTACAATCCACAAGTGCACCTAAAGGTGCCATTCAGCAATAACATGTCAGTCTAGCACAATCATTACTGAGACAAAGCAACCAAAAATATTTACAAGCTATTGCTGATTAGTACATTTGTACTATATATCTAACATTATAAGAAAGAGTATTTTCAGTATATATTTTGAGCAGCCAAGTATGGAGATCAGTTCTTGTAAACTTCAATAATTATTAATAGTCGCATCCCTTTGAGTTGGTAACCCCGTGTGACTCTATATAACATATTGATGACAATTTAGTACTGTTATTCAACACCATTAATTACAATGGTTTTAGAAGACATATTTTGTATTTCAGTACTGAACATAGAAAATAGAGACTTAATGTTGTCCATAATTTACAAAGAGACCAGACTAACAAAATCAAATCAGAGAGAAGGTAAGTGCTAATTCTCAGTAGGTGGAAATAGTTTTAGGCTTTTAATATAATTGTAAGGGGAAAGAGAGTGATGCAATTTCAGTTTAAATGGATATAGTAGGGATGTTTATAGAACACACATGAAGGTCCAGCAAAAGTATGTACCAGATGGTTAATTCCCAGCTTACTGATGATAAATATGTGTTTGGTTCTACTTTCACCTATTTAAGTTAATGTGAGTTTCTTGATCCAATAAAATGTGGCAACTCCGCATGAGAGCACTCATGAAATATTCTTACTACCGTTCTAAATTTGATATTTTTCGTTTCAGATTTCAGAAAATTCTTTATAGTTTCTTCAAGTGATGCCTTTTTACTCACAAAGTAACTGGAGTCGATCTTTACATGTTGAAATCTTATACATGGAGGATATTAGTTCTGGCAAGCAGTAGCTCAAATTAGTGAGAGCCTTAAGAAGTGCTATTTCCAGCCAAATCGGAAAATTGGTGCAACAGAATTAGATGAGAAGCATAAATTATCATCATTTACCCCAAGTACATGCGGAAATAAGATGACAAAGAAGACACAAAGATACAACAACAACAACAACAACAACCCAGTAAAATCCCACCAGTGGGATCTGGGGAGGGTAGTGTGTACGCAGACCTTACCCCTACTTTGAGATGAATTTAGTCTTCTTAAATAGGATTTCTTTTCATCCTTTATTTTCTTAGTCCTTTCAAAAAACATTCCAACATATTCTGGTCAATAAATAAAGGACACAAGTTAGCTTCCCAACACAATGTGCTCTGCACGTGTTTGTATGATGCCTTTGTGCATGTCGGTGACCTAGTGCAGATACTGCAGACAATGTAAGTATGACAAGTCTGTCTCACTTGGAAATTCATAATTTTGTATCTATTCTTGCTATCATTTTGTATCTATTCTTGCTATCATTTTCATATTAAAAGGTTCAGTCGCTCTTTTAAAAGGTAAAAAGGCTTGATCCCACCGGAACTCCAGAAATTACTGTGGTAAGATCTTGCACAAGCTATCAACCCAAATAATTTTTATGGTAACACAGTGTTGTGAAAAGGGCTCGCTTCAGCGCTTAAAGCGCGAAGCGAAGCGAGACCTCGGGCGCTTCTGTGATGTGAAGCGTAGCAGGTTGAATAAAGCGAGCGTTTCTGCGAAAAAAGCGAGAAGCGTAAAAGCGACAGTAGCGACAGAAGCGAGCGCTTCTACATATTAAGGGCTGCCAACGTTAAAAATTAAAAAAGTTCATCAAGTTCAAGCCCAGGTACGTGATTTCTTCCTCCTCCTCCTGCTTCTTCTTCTTTTTCTTTTTCTTCACTGTTTCAGTCCCAAAATAGTAGCAAATGCTAGCAATTTTTTTTTCCCTTCAATTCTTTTTCTTTCACTTTTCACTATATTAGTGATAAATTGCAGCGAAATGCTGCCCAATGTTTTTCGTTTCAGTTACTGCTATTTTTTTGGCCGCTCTTTTTTACATTTCATTTAATCTTGTAGAAGAATAGGATGCTCATTTTGTGCTTTAATTGATGCTACTCTTTAGTTTTTACATTGAAGTATTGAACATTTGCTTACAGTTACATGTGTTGTCTATGCAGTATTTATTTTAATATTTTTAAAAAAAATTCCGCTTCACTTCAAAATAGCGAGGGCTTCGCTTCTCGCTTCTCACTTTAAGCGAAAAGGGGCTTGTTGCTTTTCCTCGCTTCACACTCTTCACAACACTGTGGTAACATCTTGCACAGTCTATCAATCCAAAGAATTTAGAGAACTTACCATATAGTATGCGTAAGAGATCAAGTGGAGTCTGTTGTTTGCTGATTGATGCAACAGGTTTCTTTGACATGTTGTGCAAGTTGAGTGCTCTCGAATTCAGTCTATCTCCTGCAAGAAGTATTATTTTATCATCAAAAGTGGCAAAAGAAAACATCAATTATCTGATTTATCTAAGTGTTTGTACAGGTCTAAGGAATCATTTCAAAACCTGTGGAAGGTATAAGGAAAATTAAATACGCAAGCAACGTAGTCAAGTGAAAAAGGAAAGCAAAGATGCAAACCTAAAGGCACTTTCCAATGCTTTGAAATATATATTTTTTTGATAACCGAGAAATTCCCCACAACCATGGCGCACGATTACTAACTCGGTGAATAATGGGCACGTCCCTCTACCCTTCTCCACTTAAATATCAGGCTTTTGTTTGCGACAAGGTTCAAACTTAAATATTTCATATCACGCGCTTGAAATATGTTTTTTTTTTCCTGTCTTTGTTTTCTACCTCCTAGCAAGGCAGATTATATTTGTGAACTTCATAATAATATACAGGTACATGGCACAAGCATAGATAGAAGGATATATCAATGGAGTTCTTTTTCCTTCTTGTATGCACCTCAGTATACCCCTATATTTCTATCTTTAGAATGCAAATCTGGAAATACAAAATTTAGAACAGCAAACAAGACTTCGTGCTATGGTGATGATTCCACAATCAACTTTAATCATTCTTCAGATACTTTGTGAAATTTCCCTAATAGTGCTGCCTCTAAGTTGTGAAACTGCCTCAACCCTAAATAACTAATACATTACAACAAAAAGCACCAAAATGAAATAGAAAATGTTTGGTCACCCAGAATATTATTCAAAAAATGAGATTCACAACTTTCATAGGGTTAATATAAAATCCTCATCACACTGAACTGAATTGGAACAACGTCATTTAACCTTTCGAGTAGGTGATGAAAATTTTCCTAAATTATATGTATAATCATTGCATATAACAGTAAAACAGTCAATTTAACTCTAATGACAAACATGATTTACATGATATTCGAATGTCAGAATTGAGCAACTCACTGTTACCCAAACCTGGTCAATTTTGTGGGCCAGCGGGAGTTTAAAATTCATTTTTCAACACTTGAAACAGAATGGATGGAGCACAACTAAAAAAAAACAATTTGAGATGCTTTAATTAAGCAAACAGATATAAGGTTCGTCTTAATCCTAAAGTCTAAGGCTAAATTAACAAATAGAGGAAATTACCCGGCAATTCCGTCTTCGAGTTGATAGCCATTCTGTATCCCTGAAGAATAAAAATCAGTTAAATGAGTCTGAACTTCCTCTTATGAATTAAATTATGAACACCTATAGTGCTTGTAGTTGCAAGAACTTTGAGGGGTTTATTAGAGAGTTTGAAGCGCAAATGACCAAAAACTATGTTTCTTTTTCCCAATTTCCCTCTTTGTTACATCACTCTATTTAAACACACTTATTACTTATTACACTTTAGAAAAATTAACCTAAATAGCCGTAATGGGTCAATATACATATATATATATATATATATATAATATATATATATATATATATATATATATATATATATATAATTTCGTCATGACCATTGGGGTTGAATTCAAGTAATAGAAGTAGAGGGAGTGAACAGTAATAACCGAAAGAGATGGAGGGACACGCTCAATTCGCTTTTAATGAGACTCAACGCCTTAGATTAAGCCAGTCTAGTATATGTAGCATAATTCACAGGGAGAGGGGTATGCTAAAGTTCAGGTAATCTAACAACCTTCTCTCTTCTTCATCTCTTAAATTCTCTCTCACACTTTTGGAATTCTCTTCTTCTTCTGCAGATTCGAGCTATAAATGGAGACTCCAATTATTTTCTAAATTCATAGTTAGTTTAGTTCGTTGTAATCGTTTTTCAATTTTATCAATATACAGAAAATCATCCCAAAACTCTTGCAATTTCCATTTCAATTATTAATTTTGTTTTGTGTGACTAAGGTCATAAGAATTGGTATCAGAACCTTTGATTCTGCGACTCTTCGGCTCAAATCATGGCGGAAGGAACGAGAATGAAGTTGATGGATGAGAAGTTGGCTCACTATAATGAGCTACTGTGTGAATTGCGAGATGGCCAACAGACTTTGCGTGATACACAAACTGGAATATAGGGCACCTTAGAGCAGTCATTAGATCAGTTGAGCACGATGGAGAGGAGGCCTAACAGAGGGCTTGAGCAGGTGCAAGGAATTGGGGATGCATTGCTTCCCTTTCTAGTTCCTGATGCTCGACACCCTAGACCACAACAAGAAATTGTTCCTAATCCTAAATGAGAGTTACCCAACTTTGATGGAACAGGCCCTAAGGTATGGATTCAAAAGTGTGATAGATTTTTCAATTTGTATAAAGTTTCTGAAGAACAGAAGGTGGAAGGTGTTGCTCTATATATGAATGGAGATGCTGAGACTTGGTATAGCTCCTTAGTATTGAGTAAAGGGGTGGTGTCATGGGCTGAGTTTAAGGAGGAAGTATGTAACAGGTTTGGTGATGTATTGATGGAAGACGTTGTGGAGGAATTTAACAAACTGGAACAGTCGGGTAGTGTTGAGGAATCCCTAGTGAAATTTGATGACCTGAAAGCACAGATGATAGTTAGGAATCCTACATTGAACGAAGCACATTTCATGTCTAGTTTTATTGGAGCTCTCAAATAAGAGATTAGGTTCTCTGTGAAGATTTTCAAACCAATCACACTGAGCTATGCCATACGATAGGCCAGGGTGCAAGAAAAGGCCATTGAAACTGCCCAGAAGAAGATTAAGGTTATGCCTAATTCTAGTATTAGTTCAGGAGTATCAACAAGTATTAGTGTCCAAAAGGTGGGAGGGGTGGCTGCTTCTAAGCCTAGTCCACTTAGACTAAGCCCGGAAGTCTATGATATAGGAAATCTAACCACCTGTGTTTTAGGTGTGGAGAAAAGTACACACAAGGTCATGGATGTAAGATGAAACAGCAGCAGTGCATAGTTGGTACCACAGATGAGTTGCTTCAAGACCAACCTGGAGAACTGCCTTAGTGCCAAGAAGAAGTGATTCCAGATATTGAGATTGAGCTTGTGGAGGGGGAGGATGTACAAGAAGCTATATGCTGAAGTGCGCTCTCTGGGAAAAATAATGGGGTCGATACCATTTTGGTTAGTTGTATCATTAAGAAGAGAACCTTATGAGTATTGGTGGACTCAGGTAGTACACATAGTTTTATCAATGAATTGACTGTGCAGAAAACTGGGTATCAGGCAACTTACACTAACGCTACTCCAATAAGAGTAACTATAGCTGATGGTGTGAACACGTAATTTTTGCCCTACAAAATACTTCTATAAAATCCAAAAAAATAAAAAAAAATTAATTGTTTTGAATTTTGTAAAATTTCTAGTAATTTCTTTTCAATTGTTTACGTGCATTTAGTTACATTTTTTCTGCATATTAATATTTTAAAATCATAGAAAATACCATGAAATTTTTTGAATCTTCGTTTCATGTCATTTTAGGTTCAATTACATCTTAGGAATTAATTGCTTGTTAATTGTAGAATTAATACACAAAAAAATTATAAAAATACCATAGTCAACTTTTTTTACATTTTTTTAGCTTTTAGTTTTAAATTAATAGTTTTCTTTTATTAGTTTGCATTTTTAAGGTAATTAATCAACTAATTGGTAGATAAAGTAGTAAGAGGGTCAATTTTGTAATTTTAGTTTATACATTAGGTTAGTCTAATTATTGGCTAAAAGTGAATTTAAAAAAAGAAAAGGAGAAGCCATGGCTATTGGGGCTTCATTAGCTCGAATTGGGCCAGTCTGACCCCATTTCTGCTAAATCCAAATCAACCCCCTAGCCCAAACCCAGCCTCATCCAGTCCAAAACCCCTTAATGAACCAAACGGCCCCGTTTTGACTTGAACAATCCCGTCCGTTGATCACCACAGATCGAATAGATCGCAACTAACCGACCCCGTTCCTTATAATTTTCTGAACAAGATTAACCCCCCCTCTCCCAAACGAAATCCCTCATTTTCTTCATCTTCTTCACCCTCACCCCTCTCCTTCAAATCCTAGCCGCCACAAGGTCCACCCCGGTGGAGCCACCCCAAACACCATTCCAAACCGCCCCAAATCCACACCCCGCGATCATCATCTTCCCCCACTCCCAATATCTTAGTTTTAGCCTCCAAAACCCATCCGAATTCACCTAGTAATAGATCTAAAATCCCAGAAAACTTAGTTTTTAGTTCCCTTCTGATTTGTCCAATGGTTTTATTCTATTTGGCTCATAGCTCACGCTTGTTGATTGCTCTTGACATGAGCAATCCATTGACATTAGTTTTGGGTCATGTCGAAGTCGCGGAATCCGGTCGATTTACCCCTAATCGGTCAGAACACTCACGAGCCCGAATTTTCCCATTTTAGTGCCGGTAACCTTTTCTTTCTCATCTTCATTTTCTACTTAATTGTTTAGCTAAGTGATTTTTTAGTTTAATATTGCATGTTTAGGTTAATTCAGGATTAATTGTTAAAATCATTTCATTCTTGATTACTTCCTGTTTTGGTATTTATTTTAATTGATTCGAATTCTTTTTTTCTGATGTCTTGGCCCTGCTTTGGTCAAGTTCAGATTCTGTGGGTTATGGGCTAAGAAGCCCAAACCCAGGTTGATTACTATAGGTAAATACAGGGGTCTTGCATGGTAGTTTAGGAATTGAATTTGAGGGAATCTTAGATAGGCATATAGGAAGCTTTTAGATAATGGACAGCTGTCCAAAGTTGTTAAGAAAAAGATGCTGAAAATTGGATTAAAACATTTGGAAAGGACAGTTGTACAAATTTGGTTAAAAAGATGCTCTTTTTCCTTAATTTTAGGGAGGGCACATGTGAAGTGAGCTCTCAGATTTTTCCTTATAGGAAAGGGCTCTCCTTCTGCATTTTGGGAGGACAGAAAAAGACTCATCTTCATTGATTTTCATTGAACACACTGTTCCTTTGAAAAATTTCCTCATCCTCACTCTTCTTTTTTTCACAAGAAACACTCTGAAAAACGAAAATCAGTAATTGTCAACACTGTTTCATTGATTTTGGTCTACTGCTGGATTTCTGGAGTTGAGGATTAAAGCTATTGTGTGCTGTTTTCTACTATTGTTTACTGTTGTTATCAAGCTGTGTTTGAATTAAACTTCTTGCTGCACTTCTCAACTTCAGAGACTTATTTTCCATTTGATTAGTTCTGCTGTAAATGTTGATACCCAATTTTGCTCAAATATTTTCTCAAATTGTATATATACTCTCAAAATAGCATGTTTGCATCATTATTTAGTTTAGAAACCTATACAAGCATTTTTCATAATTTTTAAAGGCTCTAAATTCATTTCTTTCTATATTTTTATTATATAAACATCTAATAATTATCCTTTAAAATATTTTGGGATGACTTAATCATCCAGACTTATTATTTACACCAACATGTATGTTTTATAATATATTACTTTATTTTTCTATAATTGCATTTGCATTTTTAGGCTAAATGCATATTTTTGCAATAATAACCTATATTCATGTATAATTACATTACTTGTGCCAAAATAATATTTTATATTTTTATAATGTTAGGCTATTATTTTCAATCATTTTAGTGCATAGATAATATTTTTTTTAATTTTATTAATTACTTTTATAAATTATTTTTGATAAATGTTGGGTATTTAAATAACAACCCATTTTTAACCAATTTTCGGACCAAATAAACGGCCCAAAACCCCATACCTCTAGCCCAATAACCCTAGCCCAAACCAAACAACCCCTGACCCAAAACCCGGTCGGTGCTCCATTTCCATGACCCGCACGTTCCAAATTTTTAATCTTGGTCGTTGATCTCTCAAGATCAACGACCTTTATTCACCCTTCCCTTTTAATTATCCCATCACCTATCCATACTCTAATCCATTTCCCCTTTGCCCCGCCGCCTCATTACCCTCTCGTCTCTCCACCTCTCTGAAGAACCCTAAAAACGCCGCCCTCCCTAAATCTTCTCCTAATCCCACCAAATATGGGATTCAATGGATGTTTCTTGCCATATACGACCCCCTTTCTGGTACTGGCTATTCTCCTACAGTGCTTGCCTAAACATGGCAATGAGATCTCTCCGAAATCGAACCAAAAATGGTTCAAATCCCTGATTTTTGAGTGTTATTCTGTCTATTCATCCTATGCTACTGTGAGTCCGATTTTTGTTTATATTCTCTTGATATTTACTTTCCCTAAAACTAGGGTTTACAAATGTCTTCAAAATCGAACCAAAATCGGTTCAAATCTCTAATTTTGAGTATTATTTTTGTCTATATTCGTTGTCATGCCCCAACCTCGGGAGGCGCGACCGGCGCTCAATCGAGTGA